TCGCTTTGAAAGCAGTGAGAATGAACTCGACATCCGTTTTAATAATTTCTTAACGACTCACCAGTCTTCTTTATTTGATTTTGCGGCTTAGTAATTTTTAACACCTATCGGGTGTGCATTTTCTCGCGCTAAAACGAAGAACTTTTCAATCTTGAATCATACAGTATTAACTAAAGTAAACACTTTCAGCGAAACATCTTGAGCGTGAAACTGCAGACTAGCTATCAAGATCTATTCTAAATCATGTATTGTTATGATTCAAAAGATAGGGTAAATAGGGAGTGAAAGAGAACCACGAGGGCGATGGCAACAAGAACGTAGCGAAGCAAATGATCTAATGAGCAAAACAAAAGCAAAACACGTGCGTTTTAAAACTTTGTACATTTCTTAGCCGTCCCATACGGAACAAAAACGTGAAATCCCCAACTTTTACGCTCTCTTAGCTAGAAACCTCGATAGCAATTAATTCAAGTTTTACATTGAATTGAACACTACATTCACATGTTATGCAGAAGTGAAGATGTCGTACCGTCAGAAACGGTTAACGCATCGAGCTATTGGCGAAAATCTTACAGAGAAATAAGTTACGTTTTTCCACAGGTCGCTGTAGTAACAACTTAAACTCTCTAATCTTGTAAATACCGCAGACTGAGAGTGTATTTGTTCCTCAGCCAGCCTCCTACAGAGCGTATTTTCAATAAAGACGTCCGCTTTTGAATTCAATTTTAATGGCGACTGATAAGGGCAATTAATCGCACTATTGGCACGCATTGTGATTCTGGAAGATAAGAGACCTCTCTCAAGTTGGCTGTCTGATGCAAGTTTAGACCCAATACTTTGTTTACTTGAAAACGAGCTCCATTTCCGAGTAATTATAGTCCTAGGCCCAGTTGTATAAAAGCAGATAACACTATCCGACGGATAAATCGCCATCCGGCGGATACATCGCTATCCGGCGGATAAATCGCTATCCGACGGATAAATCGCTATCCGGTGGATAAGTGATAGCAAAACGTATAGCGTTACCCACCGGATAGAGTTTTATCCGGTGGATAGTGTTATTCAACCTTCGAACAACCAGGGTCTTCTCTTTCTCATAAACAGACCGAGTCGCTGCGTCTGTAGCTCGAGGCGGTGGACAGATACCGCCACGCGAGAATAAATTTACCGCTTCTCTTCCCATGTAATTAAAATTACGCCAAAGAGGTATTCTAAAGCCAGCAAAGCAAAACCTTGTTGGGTATCAGTCAAACTAAGGTGTTAATATAAAAGAGTGGATTGATCCAAAGACATAGCTTACAACTTCTTACCCAAATCTATTAGAAAACATTCGCCTCTTGTTCGCTATATTGAATTTTTCTCTCTGTGTTTGTTATCATGGGTTAATTGCAATACCATTTATTTTCGCTTTGACAGATGACTTTCCCTCACCGCCTAAAGTTTGTGCTTTTTTTGATATGTTACATGCGACATGCACATGCTTGTTTATCAACATGCTCATGCTTTTGTATGGCGGCAAATTCATCGATGATAACACAGGCAAACGCATCCACGACAGCTGTTCCTACAATGTCTACAATGGCTGCAGTAAATATAACAGCGTCTGAAGATGGGACGAACACCACAGGTACCCCAATGTCGGCGACAACAGGAGCGTCCGCTGCAGCCACATTATCTTCCATGCAACATGCACATGCTTGTGCATCAACATGCTCATGCTTTTGTATGACGGCAAATTCATCCATGATAACACGGGCAAACCCATCCACAACGGCTGTTCCTGCAATGTCTTCAATGGTTGCAGATAATAAGACGGCGTCTAAAGATGAGACGTACACCACAGGTACCCCAATGTCGGCGACAACAAACGCGTTCGCTACAGCCACAGCACTACCAATCTCAACAACTCGCGTTACAACCAAGTCATCAAGTGCTGATGGGAAGATTACAAGTGCCCCTGTCACAGTACCACCTTCCATGTCCACCATACATAATGGTAAGAGACATTTTTGTATTCTTAAAAACTAAGAACAACAGAATGAAAGTTTAACAGTATGGGGAAAGGTTTGAATTTGAGTTTCTTGGGGCATGTTCCTCAAGAAACTTTGTTTAATTTTCAATTTTTGGTTTCTTTGATAATTTCATTTTCTATTTCTGTGTGAAATTTTCGGGATCACTACCTTTTTTTTTTTTATAAAACCCGTGATCGGGCGTTGTACTGAATTATTATTTCATAGCTGTTCATACATTAATTAAAGAATAAACTGCAGAAGAAGGCCTAGTATGGAGAATAGTCGACCCCAGTCTCTCACGAGATTTTTGCTGACAGCAATGACAGGTTACTAAGGATAAAACAACATGAATTTTTAAATCGTATTTGTCGACGCGGACGAATTAAAAATTTTAGGAATAAAACGACAAAAGAAATCAAACCAAAGAGGTAAATCTGAAACAAAAAGAAAAAAGAAGAGGATTAATAGCAATGGAGAAGATTAACAGAAATTACATAATTGAAACGTTAAATTGCCTGATAAGACGTATGGCTTTGTTGAAGTGAAACAAAATTTCACGTACCTTGAAAAAGAATACTGGAAACGTGTAAATCTATGTGATAACGTTTCCCAGCGTCCGTCTCAGGTTGTTGTTGTTCAACTTTAAAAAAATTGTTACAAATCATTCATTTTACAACCAAGAGGTATTACAGTGTAATAAAACCGACAGGAAAAATACCCTACACAAATGGAGTGCTTTTGGATTGAGTGTTTTAAACCCAAAACTAAAGTTATCAGAGAGGGCCAATCAGAAGAAAGGAGAAATACCTTTCAGAGCCAATAAGATTCAAAATAAAAACAAGTTAACTGATTAAAGCGCGAGCCAAAGTCGTGATTGGCTTTAGTTTTCAATCGATGTGATTAGTTGAGAGAGAAGCCCCGAGTGTTTTGGACCAATCATAAAACGAAGTAAAGCAACGCATCGCCATCTCGGATTACTTTCGCCATTGAATTGA